CTATTCTATTCTATTCTATTCTATTCTATTCTATTCTATTCTATTCTCTCTTCTCCTCTCCCCTTCCTTTCCATTCTATTCTAACCCCCCTCTCTCTCTCTCTCTCTCACACACACACACACACACACACAAAACGGCCAGGAAACTCAGCTTAGGGCTTCCCAGTGGTCCAACCAAGGAACCAGCGATGGATGGAAAGCAGAGAATTCTCCTTCAAAAACGAGGAGCAGCGGGAAAAAGGATATGACACCACGCAGACGGCGAGCACCGGCTTCGATTCCGGGAAGGGGTGAAGGTAATCCCATATTAAAGCCACGATGGCGAAGAGGCAGGAGATGGTGCAGATGATAAGGCGCCCGTCGATCAAGCAGAAGTTCTCTACGTATTTATACTTTTCCAAAAGGACCTGGGAAGCGGAAAGAAGGGCCCAGGTTAGCCCAGGGCCTGCATCCTCCAAGGGAAGGAAGGGGCTCGACGAGAAGGAGAGAACCTCGGGGGTTCGGGGTTGAAATGTGTGTGTGTGGGGGGGGGGGTGGAGACGCTTGGTGCTCTCTGAGCTGGGTGGTTTTCTTGCAGGCGTTTCGTAGACCCAACTGGGGAACATCATCAGTGCTAGGGGGCTTTGCAGAGAGGAGGAGGAGGAGGAGGGGGAGCAGGACTACGAGGTCCTTAGTGTGCTCTGTGTGCTTGTTGGTGGTTTTCTTACAAGTATTTCGTGGCCCAACTGGGGAACATCATCGGTGCTGGATGGGAGGGACTGGGGTTTGCAGGGAGGAGGACTCTGAGCTGCATGGTTTTCTTGCAGATGTTTCATGACCCAACTGGGGAACATCATCAGTGCCCGAAGTGTGCGGAGGAGGAAGCGGGGGGTGGGGGGAGGACTATGAGGTCCTTAAGTAGACTCTAAGCTGGGTTGTTTTCTTACAGACGTTTCCTCACCCAACTAGGTGGCATCTTCCGTGTTATAAAGGAATGGGAGGTGTGGAGTGGAGGGAGAGAATGAGGAAGTGGAGAAAGGGAAGAGGAAGGACTGTGGGGGTCCTTGGTGTTCTCTGAGTGGGGTTGTTTTCCTGTAGACATTTCATGACCCAACTATGTAACACCATCAGTGTCAGAAGGGAGTAGGGTTTGCTTGTTGTGTTGGGGGGATTATCAGGGAGGCAGGTCAACAGCTTGAGGAGAAAAGGGCCTTAAGCAATGCAGAGGGACGCACAGACACTAGAGAATCATATTCCGTGCTGACCGGCCCCAAAACAAGAATGGGGGGTGGGGGAGGAATTAATAGGAAAGACACAGAACTGGGGGGAGGAGCCCATCCTCTATTCCAAAAGGGAGGAAGTTGGTGTTTTTTTAAACCTTTTTGGCGGAATCATCCAGCGAATTCTTCACCGCTGACCCGTCCCATTTGTCCACTTTCACGGGTTTGTCGTCGATTTTCCACTGAGAGGCAAAAAAAAAAAAGTTTAGAAACAAATTCAGGGGTTTAGAAAGAAATTTAAGGGGTTAGAAACCAATTTTTTGGGTGGGGTGGGTGGTGGAGAAGATGGCAAATGCCCCCTTACTTCTGCCCCATGTTGGATTCCCATCAAATTAAATGAAAACAACTGAATTAGGCTCAGTAGGTTGTGTGAAGACTGTTGTTTTGTCTTGACAAGGCTCTACCCTGGAGCCAGTTGTGACTTTCAGATTTATGCTGGTGAAAAGACACCCCGGGTCTTCCTAGGGGTTACATCAGAGTTTGGAAATGACAAAGGCCTCCAGAATTCGCTTTTGTACAAAGCGCATCGTCAGCACAACTGAATTAAACATGCAAGCTTTCAACAATGCTTATTTATTTATTTTAATTTGAGGAAAAGGAAAGGCGTTCTTTCAGGAATCCCGAGGGGCAGCCATCGGCCCAAGAGAAAGTAATGAGGTTCACTTTTGTAGGGTTCCACCAGTCAGCCCATAATACAGGGATGGGCAACTCTGCCACTTTAGGACTTGTGGACTAACTCCCAGGATTCCTGAGCCAGCAGCCTGAGGGATTCTGGGAGTTGAAGTCCACAGGTTATAAAATTGCCAGAGTTGCCCATCCGTGCCATAAGACCTAAATAAGGCCTAGATTTAACGTGTTTGAAAGAGCACAGCAATCCAGGGCTGGAAGACACCTCAGAGGTCATCTAATTCAACCCCTTGTTCCAAGAGTATTGCTAAAGTGAGCTTCTCTCTTTTGACCCAGTTTGTTGGTAGATCTGATGATCAAGATTTATTGCTCCGGTTATTTTAATTTGGGCTTGTGCGTTTGTTTGCTTCTATCGCTTTTGCTATTTTCTAAGCTGCCCAGAGTCTAAGCAGGCAGACGGCCACACCTAATTTAATAAATGAAATTAATGTTTTTTTTTGTCCCTGATATTAAGTTCCAGATTCACCCATGGCCAGGTGCTACCTGCAGTATTGACCGTAAATCTGTTTTCATCAGTATGACGCGGAGAGGTATGCGCTATTGTCACAATTATTATTGTTTAATAAAAACACATGAAAGGGGGAAAAAGGGCTTGTTCTGAGAAGGGAGATTGCTTAGTAGAAAGTTCATGCGAATAACCTGAGAACACAATATTTATAATATTTCTCAACACAGTAAAGACCCAACAGTAATGATTATATTGGGCTTATGTTTCAAATGACAAGCTTGGCCGCAAAATAAGCAAACACCTTTGGAGAATCCTGCCCGGGCGATCATTCAGGAGGCACTGTGCACTCCAAAATTAGATTTACCGAGTGCATTATTCTTAAATTAATCACTAGTTCTATTGTGCAAACAAAGCAATTTATTCATGCTCCTTGCTGCAGGCCAAGACCAGAGATTAACAGTTAGCCCTTGACTTACAACCACAATTGAGACCAACATTTCTGTGGTTAAGTGAGACATTTCGCTCCGTTTTACAACTTGTCGCGCCACAGCTGTTAAGTGAAACTGTGCTGTGATTGAGTTAGCAACACGGTCGTTAAGTCAATCCAAATTCCCCATCGGGGAAGCCAGATTCACTTAACAACCATACGAAAAACTTCACCCCTGTAGCGATTCCCTTAACGGTTGTGGCAAGAAATGTTGTAAAATGAGGCAAAATTTCACTTAACCGCCTTGCTCGGCAACATAAATTGTGGTTCGTAAATTGAGGACACGTATATGTTGAGGAAGGTGCTATGTACCTCGTCTTGAGCCCTCGGAGGAAAGGTGGATTGTATTATCTCTAATCCTAAATAAGAAGCTATATTTAAATTCAAGCATTAAACATACTTCCTCGGTGATAATTTCACCCAATATTCACCCAAAGCTCTTATTATCTTCATTAAAACCATATGGCAATGAGGTGGATCTCTCTCTCTCTCTCTCTCTCTCTCTCTCTCACACACACACACACACCCCAATGCCAAACTACCCAGGGAAGACCCTCAAAAGACACGAAAAAGATTGTTCGCGGAAGACTTAAAAGCATTCTCCCCATCCTGAAAGTGCGTTATGATCCCTTGCTGTCCGATAGGCTACGTAGCACGGAGGATCTAATCCCAATGCTAAGATGAGACCTGCTCCAATTTTGCCAAAATGCCAAGTTTCCAGCATCTTCTCATGCAAAAGCCACGGGGGTCTTGAACCCCGTAACTGCACCTGACTAAAACAGGTTCAGAAGCTGGACAAAGGCTGCCCAGGGACGCTTTAATTCTAACTTTGGGGAGCTACTAGATACGGGGAGCCCCGGCCCCGTGCTTTTAGGGACCATTTGAAGCTACATCACTAAAAAAAAAAATCGACTTAGGGCTGTTTTTCACACTTACGTCCGTTGCAGCATCCCACTGGACATGGGATCGGACGCTTGGCAACTGGTTCGTATTTAGGATGGTCGCCTTGTCCCAGAGTCACTGATCTCCATTTGCGACCCTTTTCCTGGCAAACTCAGTGGGGAAGCCAGAGTCACCGAATAACCATGCGACTAACTTAAGAACTCCAGTGATTCACTTAACAATGGTGGCAAGAAAAGTCATAGAACGGGGCAAAACTCAGATAACAGATAATCAGAAGGGACCTTGTAAGTCATCTAGTCCAACCCCCCCCAACCCAAGCAGCGGACCCTACACCATTTCTGACAAAGTTTCTAGGTTGAATCTCTCCTTGATCAGTTTCCATTGTTCCTTGTCTGGCCTTTGGGTCCTTTGGAGAATAGCTTGACCCCCTTCCTCCTCCTCTCTGGGGCAGCCCCTCCCTCAAATTTTGGAAGGCTGCTCTCCTGCCTCCCCTGGTCCTCCTCTTCTCTAGACCAGCCAGGCCCAGTTCCTGTAACCGTTCTTCATATGCCTTAGTCTCCAGTCCCCTAATCATCCTGGTTGCTCTTCTCTGTATTTTTTCGAGTCTTAAGAACCATTTTGCTTAGCGACGGAACCAATTGTGGTCGTTAAGCCAGGCACTACCTGTATATGAACACAGCCTGCTGGAGTCAAGCAAAGAACTATTAATGTCTAACGAAACCTCACCTCCTTCTCATTTTTGGCGTTCTTCCTATCGCTTGACTTCCTGTTGCTAGCTTCAAAGAAAGACACATCATCCCTTCTGAAACCCAACGGCCATGTCTAAAAAAATTTCAACTATGACAACTTAATTCTAACCTTTTTTTTAAAAAAAAAAAAATCAAATCAGGCAGTAAACTTGCTTATGGACCAGAATGTCCTCTAAGACAAGGGCTGAAAAGGCGTGTGTTTTTATTCTCAACACAGAAGTAAGGAAAAAGAAAGCAGTAAAGGCATTGCTGCTGTAAAACGCTTTCCTCCTCTAAGACTTATAGTAACAAAGAAGAGCTTGTTTCTTAAGGTCCAATAACCAATGTCTGGGCAGGACTATTAAGTGAAAAATGATTTTATTTTTGCTTTCAATGTAAGGAAAGCTGCACAGGGTGAGGAAATCTGCCTGTGAAATTGAAATGAGACCAGAGGACAACAGGGAGAATAAATAAGCACAGCAAAAGAGTGAGGATTTGACACAGTACTTTAGACTTTGAAATACAGGTAGTCCTCAACTTATGACCACAATGGAGTCCAAAATACCCTGGGACCATCATAAAGGCGAGTTGCCAAGTGTCTGAATTTTGATCACGTGACGATGGGGATGCTGTGACGTGTCGTAAGTGTGAAAAACGATCTTAAGTCACTTCTAACAGATAACAGATAATCAGAGTTGGAAGGGACCTTGTAGGTCATCTAGTCCAACCCCCTGCACAAGCAGGAGACCCTACACCATTTCTGACAGAGGGCAGTCCAGTCTCTTCTTGAAAGTCTCCAGGGATGAAGCTCCAACAACTTCTGAAGGCAACTTCTATTCCACGGGTTGATTGTTCTCACTGTCAGAAAGTTTCTCTTTGTTTCCAGGTTGAATCTCTCCTTGATCAGTTTCCATCCATTATTTCTTGTCTGGCCTTCAGGTGTTTTAGAAAATAGCTTGACCCCCCTCCTCCTCTCTGGGGCAGCCCCTCTTTCAAACATTGGAAGACTGCTCTCCTATCTCCCCTGGTCCTTCTCTTCACTAGACTAGCCAGGCCCAGTTCCTGTAACCGTTCATCATATGTTTTAGCCTCCAGTCCCCTAAATCATCCTGGTTGCTCTTCTCTGCACTTTTTCTAGAGTCTCAACATCTTTATTTATGGTGTGGTGACCAAAACTGGATGCACTACTCTAGGTGTGGTCTTTTGTACATATCACTGTCATTTTGGTCACTAAATGAACTCTTTCAAGTTGTGGACTACCAGCACAAATATCAATTTCAACAAAACATCAGCAAATATACATGCATACCTACACATAAATTAAAACAAAAAAACCACCGTGTACAACATACAAGATAAAACACTAAGTTAAAAGGGTAAAACTACGGGGTCCTTGCAGCTGTTCAGTTAGCCACACGGTTGTTAAGTGAATCTGGCTTCCCTGCTTGTCAGAAGGTTTGGGCACAATACAACATACAAGGTAAAACACTAAGTTAAAAGGGTAAAACTATGGGGTCCTTGCAGCTGTTCAGTTAGCCACACGGTTGTTAAGTGAATCTGGCTTCCCTGCTTGCCAGAAGATTGGATCACATGACCTCGGGACTCTGCAACCGTCACAAAGACGAGTCAGTTGCCAAGCGTCCCAATTCTGATCACATGACGTGACCCTGGGGATACTACAAATGTCGTAAGTACACAGCATGCATCTGATTTTTGACCACCTGCTTCAACGGCCCGTTAAGGGTGACAAACGGTCACAAGCCACTTTCACCCACGTCCCTGTCATTTCGGTCACTCGACGGTCGCAAGTCGAGGACTACCTGCACTTACCAGCACAAACGTCAATTTCAACAAATCAGCAGCAGGTATGCATGCAGACACACGCATCAATTAAAAAAAATAGGTGCAATATTCAATATATACGAGATAAAAAGCTAAGTTGAGGTAAAACTGCTCTCTCCCTGCAGGATCCCAGGGGTCAACACGTGTGAATGCGGATTCTTAGGGATTCCCAGCTAGCCAATCAACGACGAGCATCTCTCTCCCTCCCTCCCTCCCCCCCCCCTGTATCCCAGACGGGCGGATGAGGATTCTGGGAGTTGTAGTCCCCGCGCTTTCTCTCTCTCTCTCTCTCTCTCTCTCTCTCTCTGTGTCTCTCCTGAGGCAACGCGGCGCCCTCAGCTCCCGGGCCGACGTGGACAGCCAGGCCGGCCTGCCCGGGGTGGGGAGACGCTGCTGAGGAGAACCGGGCTGGGGAGGCCTTCACCCCGGCCGCCCTCGCTGCCTCGTCCCGGAGGGGGAACGCCCCCGGACGCCGAGGAACCTCCCGGCCGAGCCGCTACCTTGTCCAGGATCCCGTTCTTGTTGGCTCCGCCGCCGCCTCCGCTTCCCGCGCCGCCGCCTTTCGCCGCCATCTTGACTCCTCCTTTTTCCCCGCCCCCCGCTTCGCGACCTGTTCGCCGCCGATTGGCCGAACGGGGAGAGGCCCGCGCAAAGGACGCCGGGACGGGGAAGCGCCGCCCTATAGGAAGCTGTGCCCGCGCGCGGTGTAGCCTGGGAAGTGGAGTTTTCCTGGCGGGCGGGTTGCCATGGCTACCGGGGGGAACCATCGTGAGAGAAACCGTGAGGGAATCGCGGTTCGCTGGACCGGCGAAAGGAGCCCGAGGAAGGAAGGCCGCCCGTCGTGCCGATCGGCCGGGGCTGAAGCCGGAGTCGGAACCGCCGTCCTCCCTCCTGCTGGGGTTGGAGAGAGGGAAAAAAAAAAAGGCGCGGGGGTCTTTCTAGCCACGGGAGGACTCCACGCTCTATGGTTTGCCTCCCCCATTCCTTTTTTTTTTAACAAAAAGTTTTAATTAAGTCTTTCCCCCCCCCATTAATTCATTCATTTCACTGACTTTGCCCAAGTTGGGGCTCTTTCCAGCGTGGTATTACAATCCCCATCTCCTCCCCCAAGCTTGCCTGGCCCCCCCACAACCGGGGTGGGTGTGGATTATGGCTTATGTAGTCCTCTCCCATCACATACTGGGGTTTGGAATAGAATGAATGAGCTGGAAGGGGCCTTGGAGGTCTTGTAGTCCAGCCCCCTGCTCAAGCAGGAGGACCTTCCATATTATACCTTTCCAGATAAGTGACTGTCTCCTTAAAAACCTCCAGTGATGGAGCACCCACAGCTTCCAGTGGCAAGGAGTTCCACTGGTTAGTTGTCCTCATTGTCTGGGAGTTTCTTCTTAATTCCAGGTTGCTTCTACTCCTGGATCAGTTTCCCTTAGTTGCTTCTTGTTCTGCCTTCAGGGGCTTTGGACAATAGGTTGACCCCCTTCCTCTTCTTTGGGGCAGCCCTTCAAATATTGGAAGGCTGCTATCATGTCACCCCTGGTCCTTCTTTTCATCAAACTAGACCTACCTGATAACCAAGTACCAGAAGAGACCTCCGAGGTCATCTACTCCGACCCCCTGCTCAAGAAGGAGACAATCATTTCACACAAGTGGCTGTCTCAATCTCTTCTTAAAAACCTCCAGTGTTGGAGCACCCACTGGTTCATTGTCCTCCCTCTTAGGAAATTCCTCCTTAATTCCAGGTTGCTTCTCTCCTCGATGAGTTTCCACCCGTTGCTTCTTCTCCTGCCTCTTCAGGGGGCTTTGGAGAATAGCTTGACTGCCTCTTCTTTGGGGCAGCCCCTCAAATACTGGAAAGATGCCATCATGTCACCTCTGGTCCTTGGAATAGTGCTATCAGGTCACTCCTAATTCTTCTTTTCTCTAGAATTTACCCAAACCCTAATCCTACAATGGCTCTTCATATGTTTTATTCTCCAGGGCTTTGATCATAGTTGCTTGTCTCCGAACCTCTCCAAATTCTCAACATCTTTTTTTTTTATGGGGACCAAAACCGGTTGTAATTTCAGGTTGCTGCATCCACAAGACACCCGCTCAACCTGGTCAGGCTAACGTCAGCGGAGACGTTGGTCCAAACAGGCAAATCTGGGTCAGGGTTAACGTTTAGCTTTTCGTTTGGTTCCCCCACCCCTGGGTTTGGGTGTATTGCATAAACTCAGAAAAAGGGATTACTTCAACAACACGCGTTCGGTGTGTGTTACTGCAAACCCCAGCCTGCGAAGTGGTTCGGTCGGTGTTTTTAATCGAGCAGCCTGGCCTACCTTGCAAGGTTGTTGGGAGGCTTACTGGCATTCCTCAACTTGGGATCCCAACTGAGCCTCAGATTTCTGTTGCTAAGCGAGTCGTTTTATAAGTGAGTTGGGCCCCGTTTTGCCATCTTTCTTGCCGGCGTTGTTGTGAATCACTTCAGTTGTTAAGTTAGCAACAGGGTTTTTAAGTGCATCTGGCTTTGCTTATCAGAAGGTAGTAAAAAGGGGATTGTATGACCCCCCGCAAGACACTGCAGCGATCATAATCTTGTTTATATATTTTGCTAATAATATACAAACAATACAGATAAAATCGGGTATAAAGATTGATCTCTTATAAGCAATAATAATCATTGGATAATCATAAATCATTGGATGGTGCAGTCAAGCTTTGGGAATCTTTTAAAGCAGCTGTTTCCTAGTAGGACTTGATGTCTTATTGCACCCTATGACTATTATTAAGTGTTGTACCTGATGATTCTGGACTCTTGATAAATGTATTTTTTCTTTTATGTACCCTGAGAGCATTTGCACCAAGATGAATTCCTTGTGTGTCCAATCACACTTGGCCAATAAAGAATTCTATTCTATTCTATTTCTAATCTATTCCATATTTCTATTCCATATTTCTATTTTATTCTATTCTATATTTCTATTCTAATCTATTCTATATTTCTATTCTAATCTATTCCATATTTCTATTCTGTTCTGTTCTATTCTATTCTATTCTCTATCCCATCCCATCCTATTTAAATTCTATTCCTAAGGCCTTCTATTCTTATTGTACCCTCTGACTATCATTAAATGTTGTACCTGTTGATTCTGGACTCTGACGAATGTCTCTTTTCTTTTATGTACACTGAGAGAATTTGTACCAAGACAAATTCCTTGTGTGTCCAATCCCACTTGGGCAATAAATAATTCTATTCTGTTCTGTTTTGTTCTATTCTATTCCATTCTATTCTCTCCTATTCTATTAATTCTTATTCTTATTCTATTCTATTCTATTCTATTCTATTCTATTCATTCTTATTCTATTCTATTCTTTATTGTTGTCTTTTTTAAAAAAAGATGTGGGAGTTTACAAAACGACATAGGACACTGTGTGCCAAAGCGGGTGCCGAGAGCCAAACTCACTTAACAACTGTCTCTCTTAGCAACGGAAATGTTTGGGTTCCATTGTGGTTGGTAAGTCAAGGACTACCTATAACCCCTTTTAAAAAATACAATAACGAGAAAGAACGCCGCTTGAAGCCATTTAAGAGTTGCTCTTAGCAGCCCAGAAATGAAACCCTGAGATGGTTTAATTTGGAGACGCCTACCCCCTAGGGTTTGGGGGCGGGTTGGACTAGATGACCTCAAGGAACGCTACCAGCCTTTATTCTCTCTTAGCCCAGCTTCTTTGATGGATTTGACGCAGAAGGAACGGACCAGAGGGGGTTTAAAATCTCGGGATTTCTAAGCCCGGGATCTGAATGGTAATAAATCCCCCCCACCCTCCTGGTTGTCGTCCCATTTTCCCCCACCCCCCAAATAACTCCCACGACCCTCTGCTTACTTTGTAAGAGGCCTTGGCAGTGCTTCGTGAGGGGGGCAACGAGCTCCGTGAAGGTGGCGACGAGGTCTCTGGTGGCTGCCATTGGAGCGGGACGTCACGGCAATGTTTCACGTTGACTTGTATCCTCACGTCGCCATGCGTCACTCGCATTGCTGGTCTGGGCAGGTGGTGGTCTCCTTAGCGGGGAGGGGTCTCCTGAGGGCCTGCTGAGAAGGGTCCCTCTGGGCCATGTCACAGAGGCCTAGCTGCTTTGTTAAGCAGTGACATGGGGGGGGGAGTTTATCCAGGGGTGGGATTCACATTTTTTAACAACTGGTTCTGTGGGCGTGGCTTAGTTGGTGGGCGTGGCTTGGTGGTCATGTTATTGGCTGGGCGTAGCCAACTCAATGTCACTCACATCGAGGCACGCATCTCCTCGCCTGGCCTCTTGTGACCGTGTGGGGTTGCTGCAACAGTCGTAAGTGTGAAAAACGGCCGTAAGTCCCTTTTTTCAGTGCCATTGTAACTTTGAATGGTCACACAAGCAAAGTACCAGCAAAGGAGGGGGAAAAAACTCCAGAGAAGTTCCAGAGACAGGAAGTCTAGTCCTGCCAAGAATGTAATAAGGATTAATGGAGAGGCCGTTTCTGTAAGCAACACCAGAATGTTTCCTTCCTGCCTTCCTTACAGGATTAGCCCTGTAATTTCTTCTAACAACCGGTTCTCCGAACTGCTTAGAAGGTTAACAACTGGTTCTAGCGAATAGGTGCGAACTGGTAGAATCCCACTCCTCGGGGTCTCCCCTGGAAATAACAGGGATTGCAAAAGACCTGTTATTTTATTTTTTAAAAATTTGCAAAGGGGACAAATACCAGCGTTGGGGGGGGGGACCTTAGAGGTCGTCTAGTCCCACCCTTCTGCTCAAGAAAGCAATGCTCCCATTTGACCTTTCTTGCCTCGGTTAAGTGAATCCCTGCAGCGGATAACCCTAACCCCGTGGACCCTGCTTAACAGATAACAGATCGTCACAGTTGGAAGGGACCTTGTAGGCCCATCTAGTCCAACCCCCTACACCGTTTTCTGACCGATGGGCAGGTTTTAATTAACCTTTTGCTTTGCCTTAAGGGCTGAAGGAAGACCATGGCGGCCTTTTATAAGCTGGATGATGGGCAGTGTTACCCGACCAACTGCTTTCCAGCTAAAAGCCTTTTGCAGCCTCGATACGAAGAAGGTAACGTCTTCGGATATGCAGTTTTTAAGATCTGGGGAAGGGTTAAGGATCTTTGCAGCTGGAAAAAAAATAGAGAATCCTCTCAAGCGGCCCCGCTTACGTTTCTAGAGTAAGGCTCCCAGCGTGTAACCTGTCACCCTCTCAAAACCTTGAGGCAGTGAAAAGCTCGCCCAGTTGTGCAACCTGTTGTGTGAATCTCCCCTCTGCTGCCATCCTTTTGGGGAGTTTAGGAAAAGATTTCCATAGAAGAGAGGATTTGTGGTTCAGGATTGAACTGTGGGATCTTTCATGTTCTCTGAGCTTTCATGCCTTAAGGCAGAACTAGAACTCACTGTCTTCCTGGGGATTGGCCAAAGTCATCCAGCCGGTTTTCATGGTTAAGGCAGAACTAGCACTCGCTGTTTCCTGCCTATTGTTCCAAAGTCACCCAACAAGCTCTAAGGCAGGACTAGAACTCACCATTTCCTGCTGACTGGCTCAAAGTCACCCAACTAGCTTTCATGGCAAAGGCAGGACTAGAACTCACCGTCTCCTGGTGATTGGCTTA